TCATGATACTCATATTCACTTCAATTTCCTCTATATCCTATCAATCAACAACATAAACCCATGTTTCTACTTCACTAACACATAGAACATTGAAATAACTTTCCAATGCTTCCAACTGTGGCTCATTCTGAGTTACGGTTCTCAAGGTATGGGGAAATAATAAACAAAATTCTACATGTTGTCATGGTCGCCCGGCGAGCAACCTACGATGATGGCTCGCCTTTGATTCTCCCGACAAACCCCATGCAAGGCCCAGGCAGAGGTGAAATTGCTTCATGGTCGGCCACTGAGCAACCAACAAGCTATCTCACTTTTGGTTCGCCAAAGCTCATCCGGCAAAACTGACAGAAAACAGCTCGCCTCGAGCTCACTCGACGAAGCAAGCGAAACTCAAAATTTCCATAGCGCGATTTAGAAGGGAAAATGGCTCTATACCCCAACCCACACGACCATATAGCATTCAAACACTCAATTTGATATGGATTAATATAATAAGACATGTAATTCATCAATTCATCATATAGAATACAAAATCATCACATATGGCATGTTATACACAAAATCTAATTTCCCCAAACTCCTTTATTTGTTTAAATTTTATATTTGCTTCTACTTAGTTCATCTTTCATACCACTCTGTCAATGAAACCAACATTGATATTTAACTATGTCATACCACTTTAAATCACCTGGTCACAACTCTCTCTACAACCATGACTTCTTTTCCTTAGATTAAGTTACACGAAACATAACCACGACACTTCCTTCTGATTGAATAGTCAATACCTATTAAATCTTCATGAGGTAACTTATCGACTCCTTGACTACACGCAATATTGACTACTCCTCTCTCATAAATCCTTCAGCAATTAAGAGAACTTTATAATCCATCAATTGTCATCCTTTTCAATTCCACTTGATCTGGTACTATACGCTGCAATATTTTACACCTACTGCTTCACTCCTCTCATACTACTTCAATCAAATGGCACACTTAGCACGACATTATCTTAATTCCATTCTTATCAGTAATTATCTCTCTGATCCCCATAAACATGATTAGTCTCTTTCGTCCACTGTCTTCCACTACTTTACTATAATACCAACAGTGGAACAACTGGGATTCCTAGGCACTTCTGGTTAGCTAACAATCTGCATATAAAATCACACTTATCCTCTATAGTGCATGCCACCCAACACGGTACTAGAATCTCACTGACATTCATTAGTAGAATAACCTCCTTGCTGACACACAAAGGTTTAAAATAATACCAACACCCTCTAGTAAATAGATATGCAGGAGTCACGCGACTAAAACCATAAAAGCATACAACCTTCAGTTTTATCCTTAGCTCGAAGCAATTTATCCAAAATAGTTTTACAACCTCCAGTTCTGGTTACTATCTCCCATATCAAATCTTCTCATAGGGTTCTGGCTCATTCAAGGCTTCTGCTGACAAGAGACCTCAACCAAAAGCAAAATAACACCATTAAGAAACTTCAAATCATCAAGGAGACACCACTTCCAAAGAACTTAAGCAACCTAGAACATAATCGTGAGTGTCTATAATACTCACCGAGTCGCACATCACATTTCTTATCAAAATTCATTCCTCTCAATCGTCCTGTCCCATTTCCAGCAACTCCAGTTTGTGTTCTCTTTCACATACGATCCAAGTCACATGCTTAAATACACAAATCTCTCATTCTCACTCCTTTTGGAAATACAACTCCCGAATCCTTTCAAATGGGTAAAGTATAACTGCACACATCTAGTACCACTCTATATCCGAGACCATGAATCCGCGAGAATTAACAAATGCCACATTCTGACTAACCATTTATACCTTACTAATATTTACCATATACTGAACAGATCTCTTGCGATCACCGCTTGGTAAGTCTCGTCTAATTCCTCCTCATCAAAATTGGTTCTAATAACCCTTCTAATAATTCATAGCATAACACCATACTCCAGCCTTATGCATATCTGATATACTTAATACTTTCACCCATCTAACTTCCATTCACTCTTTCTCGCGATACCACAAGACTAAGGAACTTCGTTCTGGGCATGAAGACTCAACTTGTTAAACTCTACCAAAAGTTTCATCAACTATTGTTGGGTATGACAATCACTAAGGATACCTTCAACAACCACAACTACCACACAACTTCTGATACTAACAAAAAAAAGGGCAACAAGGACAACAACAAACACAATCTCAACTTTAAGGATTAGCAACCACAAGTCTTCCACCATACAATTTAACGACATGGCATAAGGTCAACAACACGACTTATAACTCAACATCAAACCTAGAACACCATAGTCATCATGTCGTCTAAGAGGTATCAGGGACAAACCATGTCAAGCATACAACCTCATTCTCTCATTTGATTCCTCGGTAAGGATCAAGATACTAAACTTTCCTAGTCCAATAAAAGGTATATTCAGAATGCTCTGACCATTCACAAATAAGGCAATTCTCCCACTCCTGACAACTAAGGTAACCCTTTGAAGAACCTTGGCATCTTCCACATATTTATTAAATGAGATTCTTTTCCAATCCAATATCCATTGAACCATTCACCACACAGAAACCATTTATTTGAACGACTCGTAACTGACAACTTTCATCAACTACCTACAAGGCCACCAGGTACAGTCCATTCCATGATTCCTACTAAGTCTAGTACTCAACCTTGGCTTGTCTTCTGTTGTTTACCACAAACTTAAACTTCTCAAGATACAAGACTCACTGCTTGAAACAACGAGTGTGACACTCCACCACTTAACCCAATCCAAGATAACCAAATACACATACCGGTAACCACAATGCTACTATCACATGATTCTCTTAATACTAAGGTATAACTTCCACTTCAGACTCTGAAGTCTTCGTATGCGAACAATCATTAATGAGTCGCCTTTGTCTTGGTTTTAACAAAATCTTAGTAATTTCATTGTGCTTTCGTCCAAAATACATCTCGTTACCTCTTTCATGTTATAATGTCTACATTGTTCTCCACTATGCGTTTGCTTTTCTCCCTATGGTATTTCTTTTAATTTCGATTATAAAATCATCCTACTATAGTTTCCTTGAATCCAAATTACTTGTTCTATCTCTCAACACAAACCTCCTTCGACCCACACCACTAGAACTTTCGTTACTATATAATGCATATTCTATCTTCGACACAATCTCTTATAATTGATCCTCGGGTAACTCAACATTTCCAAATTGGTCTCTCACTGATTACTAAATTCCTGAAAAATTATTCTGAACCCGATCTCCTTTCCAAGACTGAATATGCTTGATTTATCTTTCACCCTTCATCTGGTGCATACATGTTTCACTTGGAACATGTAGTCATGTCCTCGAGTCTCCTCATGCATTTCACCACTAACCTTAGACTCTTACGAAGATATTAAACTTCCTTATCTCTCAAACCCTCAACCACTTGGAAGGTATCATTCTGAACATATTCCTTGAAGCACGCTTGTCCTTCCAAGATGCTCTAGTGACCTTAGAAGTTGAAACATCGATTCACTATTTCACTTCTAGACTTTATGTCACACACTCAACAAAACATCCTTCGTCTTCGCTGTATGGGATTACTTGAAATTCTTGTCCATACCAGTGGTCAGTCTAGTCCCACAACAGGTTCATTCATTTCTCAAATTTAGACAACTTATCTGATAGGAATCCTCGATTTCTAACTCCTTTAGCATTACAAGATTGCTTGAACCATACACCTTCATTCAATTCCATGTTACCAAAATTACAACTCCTACTAAGACTTCAGGTGAGATGACCGGTTCTCCTTACTTGCCAACTCTAGGTCTGAGCCTACCTCAAAGCACAAGTTCCACCAACACTTCAGAGCCCTCGTGGTCGCTCAATCATGAGCCTACCTACCACACACATAGCATTAGGTTGATCAGACTTCCTACTAACTTCATGTTGTCATAATGTGTCATTAAAAATCATGTTGTCATAACACATATGAGGCAGGAATAAATTTGCTTATGATGTTTCAAGGCTAGGTCGAGAATAGACCAGCTCTGATACCAACTATAACAATCCATATAATATATATCTAGAATAATATCATACAAGTGTTATTATTTGGTACTGACAATATCATAAGTGTCTAACGACATTATTATATGCACATGTTCAAACTAAAACATCAAACATACATATTATAAAATAAGGCATAAATATAAAAATATAAGAACTATGTACAACATCTTCCTTATACACAACTACATAGCAAAAGATTATCATAATCAGCATCCCTTGAAACATCAATGCACAATTTTTTTGTAAACTAAATCTGCAAACAATACTTGAAAAAAGAACAAAAATATTAGGGTGAGATAATAATTTCAGTGAGTTCCCATATTCTATGGGTTCACTCAACTCTACATAGTTCTAATCAAATCATATCCCAAGTCGAAAGAGGAAAAAAGAATTGAGTTCACAAAACTAACAATATATAAAAGAGACGTGGGTCAATAATGACCTTGACTTTTTCTCTACCCAAAAAACACCTTATCCCACGTTTTTTATAACAAAATAATAGAAAACTTCATGGAACGAGACAATAACTCTCTTTGAACGACATTCACCCGTCACCCTCACTCTTCTTAGACGGTATCAAATCGTCACACTAAAAAGAAATAAAGATGAGTCTAGATATGACCTATCAACAAAAAATAAAGACAAAAGTCAAAAGAAAAAATGGAAAGAAAAAAACAGAAGAATACCGAAAAATAGGTTAGAAAATTTAAAGTGAGGAAGTCTAAAACTAAAATAAATAGCAACAGAGTTACATTTATTTAAGCTGAGTTTACATTGTTATTTGTAGAAAAGACTTGCAATAGTACAAAAGCTCAAAATTTGATTAATTTTATCTTCTGCACCCATATCTCACTTGCTTTCAGAACAAACGGAAGAGCTTTAACTTAAAAAGCTTCTTGACATTCTTGATTTAAATAGTTTCTGCATCTAAGTTAAGAAAATTCTTTATAATTCCCATCATTTCTCCTCCAGGAAACCGCCCCAAACATCCCCTTGCAGCTGCAATTTCATTTAATTCATATACTGAATCGCCACTATAAGATTGAGACCATTTGCCTCCTCTCTCTTCTGGTTCCAAATCATAAGTCAAGTCTTCACCAGACTTAACACTTGGAAGAGGAAATGGATCGAGAGAAGTTTCGCGAATAATGGATTCGCCAATTGCACCTACAAAGTCCTTCAACCGACAAATAGAAAACGGAACTGGTTCAAAGCTATGGTCTCCGTATTCTACTGGTGTAGAATGGTCTCCTGTGACACAAAGGAAAAACTGAAATTTTCCAATTGATTCTGCTTCCCAGAGTAATCTTGCCAACTGCCCGATTGCAGTATCAACAGCTTCTAATGCTTTGACTTTGAGAATGCTTGCTTTGTCATGGCCAGCATCATCTATTGCCTGCAGTAACATTAATATATGAGATCTATGGCTTTTGATATGAAGTTTTCAAGCAAAATGCTGAAAAGTAAAATCAGATAAAGAAACCGAAACTTAAAAATTTCAACCTTAATATGAAGGAATCCAAAGTCATAGCCATCTGAGGGGCCTGCTTTATGCTCATCCTCTCCAGGTACAAAAACTCGGGGGCAAGACTGTGAAGGAGCTGAGAGCGCTTTAGCTATTGCTGTTGCTTTCGAAGTTAGTAGAGTTCGATAGTCTCCGGTTGCTCCAGGTGCTTCTAGGATATCAATACCGAGCGATAAGCCTAGACCAGCAATTATTTTTGTTGGAGCTACCATGCATGGCCTCAAACCATGTTTATCTGCAAATGGTGTAACCTGTAATATATAATGTAAAAGCAATAAATGCAATAGCTATTACATAGACACATAACCGTTTAATACACAGATTGTAGTGCATCGTACAATAGCCTTTTCACATCAGACAGAGGACAAAATTGACAAAACAACTAGCATTTAATTTTATATCCAAATACATGCAAATATATTGCAAGTTGCAGAAAAGTACAAAGTCTCTGAAGTTATTGAAAGATTATGTTATGAACTTAAAGAACAAACCTCAATTCGAATGCCACATCCTCTTAAAAGGACAACATTTGCAATATTCTTCCCTTCTGCAGCGCGTTGAACATTCACAGGATGAGAAACCAAAATTTTTGTTATTTCCTTAGACAGCTCATTAACAACATCAGCAGTGTTCCTTGCTTCATGAGATTCATCTAAGGCTTCTGCTTTCAAGAGTACGCGGTTGTCCTTTAATGGGTCTGTCCCTGATATATTGCCACTCAAATTTGGCCCTTTAACAACCACTCCACATCTATGTTCTGTAGCATACCTATGAAAAGAATCACAAAGACGTATAATGACCTGTTAATATTAGTCTGCTGAAATCATGAGTTTGTGTCTTCGTGAACTTGTAATCATCTACATATCAACTTAACTTTGAGGGTTGAATTTTAAAATTTTGGAAAGAAATCTTTAAACCAGACAAAATAGAGCTCGACCATCCAAAATTCTCCAAAATTTACGATATGACTAACAGATTTTGTTGACAAGAAACATGTTACAAACATTGAAAACTTAATATTAACCATAATGAGTGGTCACCTACACCAACAACTAACCCTTAAATGTTATAGCAACCTTAGACATCTTCACCTGACTCTGACTTCATATTGAGGGAAAGATGGAAGCTTCATTCCATCAAGGGCAGCACATAGTATGGGGCCTTCTTCTTCAAAGTGCCTGTCAGCTCTCCTACTAGTGACAACTCCGGTTTTCTCATCAAGCGTTGCAAAATTTGACTGCAGGAAGACAGTTCATCAACCTTTTTCTCAACAAATATTTCATCAAGCTATTAGCATGAATAATGCTTTTAAAAAGTAAGGTTAAGGAGAAATTATTATAAAACTGCATAGAAATAATAACAAAAGAGAGTTGTGCACAAACCTTAAAAGCAATATCACCAGGCGACATGGCTAATCCAGCCCCCATGGATTCAAATGCCCCTCGACCACGATAATAAACTCGAGGATCATAACCCAAGAGAGAAAGATGAGCAGTATCACTTCCACAAGCTAAGCCAACTTCTACAGGGTCCATTAATCCATTAACCCCAGCAGATGCTATCCCATCCAAATTAGGAAGTTTTGCGGCCTGAAGAGGCGTCTTGTATCCCAACCTTGGCAGTGACACATCACCCAACCCATCAATCAAAACAAAGGCCACTCTTTTCTTTGGCAACTGTGGACTACCCATCTCAGATTATAAATAGCAGCAGGGTTGAACAGCAAATAACAAACCCTAATATCTATACTTAGCAACTTCACTCTCACGGTGCCTTCACAAATAGTACAAGCAGCGTATTACCAAATTCCTGTCATCATAAGTATACTTCAATACTTATATATGTTAGAATATTATAAAATATATTATAATATCTATTAAATTAATTTAGAGTATCTTAAAATATCTCTTAAATCTTAATATCAAATTGATATTAGTTCTTATTACCAGAGTAGTCAATAGTGACCAATAGCGGCGCTATCCCGCTATAGCTTAGCAGTTAGCAGAGGCCGACCCCTATGGGAAGAGTCTTAGCAGTGCAAAACATTATAGCAGCCGCTATAGGGTAAATAGCGGGATAGCGGAGTAGAGCAGTTTCCAGCAAGGAGCGGTTTCCAGCCCACTATCCTTTTCCCCTCTAAAAAGTCAAAATTACCCCTTAAATTTACAATGCTTTAAGGGTAATTTTGGATTTTTCAATCAAATTCGAGTTGAGACTTAACCTTAACCTTCCATCATAGTCGTTTATGCACTTCAAGAGTCATGTGTGCTTTGATTTATAAATATTTTATGAGACTGAGTTATTTCCTTAATTTTACATTAAATATTTACATTAAATATATGTTTATAATTATATATAATTTGTCTAAAAAATGATCAAATAGGGAGGTCATCTCGCTATACGCTATCCCACTTTTGGAGTTGGTTGCTCCGTGCGAATGACTACTCTGCTTATTACTATGATTTGTTCTTGATTTAGGATTGAGTCTATGTATCCCTATAAATAAAGATTAGCATTGAATCTATCGTATCAAATCAATAGTCGTTATCAATCATATTTTTCACTCATCTTTTACCTATAGGGTCAGTTTGTTTTAACTTTAAAAAAATAGATTTTTTCTTTGTATTTTTGAAAATGGATTTTATAAAAACGTTTTTCAAAATATTATAAGTTTTTCTAAATTTATTTTTTTATAAATTAATAGATAAATTTTGACATACTATAACATAAATATACATTATTGAAGATCAAAACATAGTCAAAATCATAGTTTTTTCAAAAAGTTGTATCTCAAAAATGATTTTTATGAAAAACTATTTGAAATAACTTTAAAACTAAGTGATTTTTTTGAAATTTTGACATTCAAAATTTTTTTTTCGATAAAATGGAGAAATACATAAAATAACATTTTAAGAATAAATATTCGAACTAATTTTTCATTTGAAACTTTAATGAAAAGTTTCTTTGTACAAATTTTTTACACCAAATATGTTGCCCTATAAAAATCATTTTTAAAAAAAGTCAAAACAAACAGGTCCATAATCACAAACCAATATTCAATCCATATTTTTTTGGCAAGTACACAAACACAATAATAGAACCAATCAACAAGATTGAAACTTTATTTCAGTTTTGTTAGCCGCGTTCATCATGGAAAGTTGGGTGTAGTTCTAAATCATGTCAAATCTTACAACATGCAGTTGCATCAATCTTTCCATTTTTGGAAAAACTTAGCATAATGTAAATTAATAAAATCAAATAAACTAACCTTGATTGATTAATAGAGAAGAGTGTTGTAGCAATGACACAAACAAAGATTGATGCACTATAAAATTTCTTGTAAAGAATTAAGATTGGCACAGCGATATTTCTTTTTACATATAAAACCAAACACAAAGAACACATTATTTCTACGGAGACAAAACAGACAAATTAGGTAAAATAGGCTAAATCAATAATGGATCATTCTAAAAAAAAAAAAATTATTGAGAGTGGTTTCTAAACTTATATTCTTGTTAATCATAAAATCAACAAGCAGTGTATTTAAGGGACAATTGGTGAAAGCTAGCTCTAGAACAAAGCAATTAAATTCATACTTTAAGGCCCTACAAGTTTGTTAATCATAAAACCTACCTGGAAATAGAAGATGCATAAATGAAGGTATTGTGAAGTCTTTGAATTGGAACTCCAAAACAAGGCCTACAAATCAAAATAATACCATACATAAACACATGAAGAACAAAACACGGCATCTCCAAATAACTTTCTTGTCTTTTAACAGAACCATGACAATACTGTCTACCCTGAAACTAAGACTATGGCTCATGACCAAATCTTTGACAGAAAAAATAAAACTTTTTTTCTTTAAATATCAAGCATAAAAGGCACATCAAAGAAAAAAGATTAAAAAAATACCATTGATACTTATAATTGAAGCATATTATGAACATTTTCATTGGATTTTCCAAAATAAACAAACAAATTGTAGAATTTCAATTAGTTAGGCATTATATATTCACATAATAGAAAAAGAGTAATCTATGAACACATGTGCGAATTCTTGAAGTAGCAAGCATAGAATGTTTTCTAGGAATATGTTCTCTCATCTTGGACCAATTCTGTTCGTTTTGTTAAATCACAAACTATTTGAAAATAAATTTCAGTAACATAACAAGAACCTAAATGGGCGACATTATTTCGGTTCTTCTAGTTAAAACAAGTCGCCAGCTACCCTCAATTAAACTTGAGCTTTCTGCCGAACAGAACAGAATTTCATCTCATGTAACTGCTTAATTTCTTTCTTTGATTATTAGATTTTCATTATTTTAAAATGGACACTAGCCATTGTCATCAAATGACTTTGTTAAGATGATAGCCTACAAGTCTGTTATAATGAAGTCAAGCACGGGATCTTAAGTAGGATCGGTCGGCTTGTGAAAAATCATAAAACTCGAATCGTTAGCACGACACGTAAGACCCAACACTTTTTTTTCCCGATCTTGTGAAAAATGGTAACTTCATACCATATATATACACATAACAAAAACACTAAATTATAATACAAGCACAAAAAAATGCCCCAACACTTTTTTTTACAATCTTGCTTCAAAAAGCTCGATTTTGACCACGGCAATGACGAAAACAATCTTTCTCTGATCGTAGCACTCTCAGGCACCCTTAGCACATAAGATCTAACAATCTTATAATCTAGCACTCGATCTCGACTACACTCTCATAATAATAGTACGAGCACCAAAAAAACAAGCAAAATTAATTTTAAAAAAAAGGTATCATTATGATTAAGAATCACTCCCTCACAAACCGATATTATTTCATGATTAAGTTTTCACACAATATATCACTTAATTTTCGTTACAGATTCTCTCCCTGCTCTTATGTGAGAGAAATAGACCAGTTACACTAAACTTATATATGCCTTGTTGCATATAATTGTGTTTCTCGACTGTGTTGTCCTATTATATTAAATTATTTCAAGTACATATATATACCGATTACAATTTCTATCTATCTATAATATAACACATGCATACACCATTTATTCATAAGAGTATATAATGCCACCTATGAAACACGGATACTTCAAAATCATTGTTGAATCGTATCCGATACGTACCGATATGCTCAGATACATTGCCGATTCGTATCAAAGGAGTATCCAAATTTTATTATTTAAAAACAAAAACAAAAAAATTCTGATACATTCCGATACGGCGACGACACACCACGATACATTGTCGACACATCTCCAATACGTCAAGGATACAACTAGTTTATCACATGACAGTTCGTGTTCCTCAAACTTTCCTCTCTGTAAGTACTCTTCTCTCAACTTTAACTACCTTGTGACTATTTATTTTTCTATAACAAGAACCAAATCTTCCCCTCTTTAATTACTCCCCTAAAAATTCTAATTACTCTCTTCCTATGTAACTTGTGATGCACCAATTTATTCCCATTTTTATCCATCATCAAATTTTGCAAATTCAATTGGTTATTGTTGGACAATGATTTAACTAGTGTATAATTTTAAGCCCTTATATAGGTATCTAAAACGTATAGTATCCTATATTTTCATTGGCTGACGTATCGATGTATCGGATACACATCGTATCTGATCCCCGTATCGTGTCCGTACTTCATTAAATACCACTAACGAACACACCACTTCATATTCTATAGTGGAACTTTTTTAATGCTTTAAAAGTTTGACCATAGCTAAAACACACATCAACAATCACTAATCAAATATATCAAGTAAAAGAAACAGCAACTGCAGAGCCACAAAAACCTACAAACTTAACTGAATTCATGGCATATGAACACAATTTCAACAAACCAACACATGCAATCTTGGCATAACAATAAACAACTATAGAGACACAAAAACTACTTCTGTTCCAGCAGCAATAAACGGTTGCAACACAAAACCACAAAGTTTCAAGGAATTGATATACAGATACAAAATCAATATACGAGAATCAAGTAACCAACTCATATGCAATTTAGGAAGGGTTTGATGGGTTTGTGATTCGAAGGACTTACGATTGACGCCAAATTCCAACGACAAAAAGATTCGCAGATGAATCGAATGAGAAGGGTTTGCTAGGATTTCCGAAATCGCAGAAAGAGGTTTGAGAATGGTGAATCCGTTGTTCAAATTTTGGTGAGTTTCGGATTTGTTGTTTCAGATTTCGGAGTGTCAGATATGAATGAATGAATGTTGGGTTTCTCTTTCCTGGATTTAGATAAACTCAATTCACTTAAACTTTAACTTTTTAGTATAATAAAATAAAAATTAAGTGGGAATCAAAATTTATGCGAAAAATTATTGTAAGTTATTTTTCAAACAAAATGAATTGAAAGTGTAAATTTCTTTTACACTGAGAATCATATATCCCGCCAAGTCATACTAAAATTTTAAATTAAATATATGACACAACAAAATTATATAATATTATTGAGTGACAGTATAAAATATTTTTACTTTGTCAGTGTATAATAATTAAATTCAATTTTTAAAATTTTTTAATAAAAATTAATTAGAATACACTGTCAGTGTAAAACTACTTTACACTAATATCTAATAATAAGACTAAATGATTTTGGCACATAATTATGGAATTAAAAATAAATAAAATAAAATTATAATTAAACAATTTTAATTGGATGT